TAGCAAAAGTTACATTTAGGAATGATCCCTTAAAATACTTCAAAAAAAAAAAAAAACCCCAACTGTAGGAGCCTTGGTGACACAGTGGTTAAAGTGCTCAGCTGGTAACAGAAAAGGTTGATGGTTTGCACCCACCAGGGAGAAACACTGACAGCCTTGTAAACCCTGAGGGGCAGCTAATACTAAGAATGCTTCTGTAAAAGCTTAAAAAATTTTTTTTTTTTATTAGGGAACATAAAGAATATAAAGTTTTATTATGATTCTACTCAAATAGACTCACTTATTTATTTATTTTTACCTTTGAGCCAGGAAATCCAAATGGCCCAGGATTACCAGTCAGTCCCGATTCTCCCTACAAAGAACCACAAACAAGCCTTTAGTTTCAAGCGACCTGTGATTAGGTAACAAACTACCTCATTTGCATCTACTATGAATGATGCATGAGCACTTAGTCGCTATGTAGTGTTAACTTGGCTTATGAGTTGCATTAGACAGTCTTGCACCCATATCCAAATTAGTCAGTTCATCAAATGAATGTGTCTGTCTTGCCTACAATATGCTTCTGCAGGTTTGCATGGGAGCATACAATTCTGAAGGATACTGAATTGCATTTACTAATGAGCAACTACTCATCAACTCCCTGAAGGTGCCTTTTACCTTCAATCCTGGAAAGCCTGGAGATCCATGGAAACCAGGGTCACCCTAATGAATTCACACAAAAAAGAAGGAATGCAAGCAGAATTAAATGAAAATGCAGGATCCAGTCCCACGATCGTTTTCCATCTGGTGAGCCTGTGCACAGGTAGTTAATGCTGTCTGAAAGGCAGCTGCATAAAAGCAACGGAATATCAAGGCAGCCCCGTTCCTTTAGAACACACTTGCTGTCTTAAGTGACCTTGGATTAGCCATACTCCTAAATTGCAGGCCATTACCGGGGTTCTAAGTTAGGGACGTATTTTGTTGTTATCTTTGCACTTATATTCTCATTGCTTTAGCTGTAATGCTTGCCCTGGGCCAAATAGCTTTGAAATCATTGCAATATACTTTGTCTGGAGATTTAACATTTGTGCTGAGCACTATCGACCTCACAAATTATGATCCTATTACGGACGAATCTGGAGCCGCGTCAGCTCATTCAATGGCCATCTCATCAGCAGGGTTCTGGCCCCTATGATGATGCTATGAATGGAAATGCCCACTTGCACGGTGATGTTTGGGCCTGATCCTATGCTTTTATTCCCCACCCCCACCCCCACCCCCAACCCCCGCCCTATATCTATAAGTTGGTGACCTTATTTTATCAAATAGAATGGACATAAGCTATCCAAAGCTATTGTCACGCAGGCACTGCGCCAGACCGGAAATGCCGCCATAACTTCCCCCAATCCTTCCCACTTCCCCTTCCTGGTTTTATTTAAATGGTGTCCATGAGATGAAGGGCTGCTCTGGGAAGTGGCCCTGTTAGCACCAGTCCTGTCCCAAAACAGACAGCTTGTGTCTGAAGTGTCTTCCCCTTTCTAGCACACGGGAGTATTGGTCTTCTCTTAGGAATACGAAAAAGAGAAATGGCTTCCACTGCTCTGAAGACACTAGGGATGTGAGTGATTCTTACCGGAGGGCCTGGGAATCCAGCAATACCTTTCTCTCCTTTTTCCCCAAGACCAGGTTTCCCCTTTAAGAGAGAACAGTACTTAGAGACTAACAAGGAGGGGGGAAAAACTTAAGCAATTTGCAAAGCATCTCTACAGCTTGAAGAAAACATTCCTCCTGTAGAATAGCCACCCTATCAAAGTCAACCAAGACACCGAGGAAAAAGTAACCTGGCAATACATATTAGCATTTACAGTAGTGATAGAACCATGTACTTTAAAAAATATTGAGATATTGCATCAAACAATTTGAGAGAGAGAGAAGACATAGGTAAACTACCTTGAGTCCAGAAGGTCCGGGTGGCCCTCTACTTCCAGGCATTCCTTGGACCCCCTAAAGGTCACAACAAAGGCAATCTGGTCTAATCTTAGTATTTAGCCCATCAGACTCAATCTCCTACAGCCATCTATTGTGATAACCTGTTTTATTCCATTTGTTTGCTTGTTTTAAATAAGGGATTTCCCTTGAAATTTTACTCATTCGCTCCCTAAAGCCCAAGCATACTGATACACGTGATGCTCTCAGGCCAGTTCCCCAGGTGAGAGGTGGGACACAGAAGTGGAGGACCGTGGGACCAGGCCTATAGGAGCAAGTTGAAAATGCAGCCATTGAGAAAAGCAGAGACATGTAACCCAGTAACCAAGGGGCAGAAACAGGCTCTTCTAGAGCATCAGTAACATCAGTGCTGGAGGCTGGAGAAGAATTAATCTTTGCCAAGTGTGATATTTAGGTTTATTATGCCAACCTGGCCAATAGGCACATGGATTAATCAGGTTGCAATTTGATTGGAGAGCAAAGATATAAATGGTTCTGCAAGGTCCACCCTTGACTCTCTTGCTCTCTGGTGACTGGAGCATGCTGGAGCATTCGAGCTGCTGCTGTAGCTAAGTTCCCTGCCTCAACCTGTGAGCTACACCACCTGTGGGTCAGGCCAGGCTACGGATTGTGTCGCTAGAGGTTGAGGCTCCTTCAAGACCTGCTTCGCCAAGCTGTTGGTGCATAAATCACTTGAGCTGGAGGCTGGTGGATTCTGTCACCTTGCATTGCTTGCATTCAACATCCCATCCAGGCCTGCTTTGCCAAGCTCCTGAGCTTCTGACTACTGGTGACCCACCCAGCTGTTTGTTGCCTGTGGGCAGACTCTGCTTGCCTTGCCTCAGGGAGGACTCTGCCGTCTGCTTCCTTGACCTTGGACCCAGCAGCCCACGGGAATTGAAGGACTTCCACTATATTAACTGTTCCACAGAAGTGAGTCGAACTGAACCCTCTGTATTGCTGTGTGGACTAATTGGCTGTTATATTCCTTCTCGCTGTCTAAACCTATTCAATTATATAAGTGTCCTGGTCTCGTTTTGCTAGAGAACCCTTCCTAACACACCAAGGGTCTTTGAGGGGCCCGGCTCTCTGCATTTGTGGCCATCTCAATTAGCCCATAAATAACTGGCTTCCAGTGGTCTTCTCAGCGGACAGACCCAGAGGCATTCTGTCTTGGAAGACATGCTATAACGTCACGTCCTCAGTTACGCTCTCCCACCCAGCAGCTGAGTAAATTTGAGAGTGTTCCTAACTTTTCCCAGCCTCATTTTCTTCCTCTGTACAATGGGGTAATAACCATTGCCACCTGTGAAGGCTCTTGTGGCATCCAGAGGGGACCCAGGGAAGGTGGTCAGAGCTTTGCCGGCACAGAGTAACTGTTGAGAAAATGCTGAGACTTTACCCCAGCAGGGTGCAGATTTGGAGGTCTTACCTTTTCTCCTTTGTAGAGACCAGCGTTAGGTGGCTCCACCAAAAGGGTTGGTCCTGGAGAACCTTGCTGGCCAACCTCACCCTTTGAAACAAAACCCAAAGCCAGAGACCAATTAAACAACTAAAACATCGATTCAGAAATAGATTTTGAGCTCACACTTCGTCCTAACTCCAATCTAGGAACAATTAATTCTTATGACATGGCCCTGCTCAATACTCACCCTCATGAGGGAAACACAGAAAATATCGGTGGTATGGCAGGAATGTGGTGAAGAAATTAGATGGTGCCTGCCTATCAGATAGAATAGCATCTGGGGTCTTAAAGTCTTGTCTCCAAACAATCAAACAAGCAGGCATCTAAGTCGGATGGCAACTAAGCCCACATGGAAGAAACACACTAACATTTGTGATCCAAGGATTGTAAATTATATAATCCAAATCCAAAAGAGGGAATAGTATCAGAGTTTACATTGTGAGATTCTGGTGTGCAGAAAGCTAAGGATGTGGAAGCCCAAAATATATTGACAGGGTCTACACAGGGAATAGGCCTCCAGTGAGTTCCATATAACTATAATTGGGGGATGGGAAAACCTAGTTATCAGATAGAGTATTGGAAAGATGACTACAGTAGATTAAAATAAATCTGACTTGAATGGTTAAAACCTTGTCACTTGATCTCCCCTCTGATACACTGGGCTTAAAAATAGGAATTAATATGCAATTTATGTTTTGAAACAAAGAAGACTTTGGTCCATATTATGGTAGGGGATATAAAATCTCATGGGTCAGGAATTTACAGTGTAAATCCTGGCACAACCATCAGGCCATTTTCAATGATGTGGTTTTTTGTTTCCTTATTAAAATTTTAATCCATGCTTATTGTTAAAAATCAAGTAAAAAAGTTAAAGTGAACCCTAATCCTGCTGCTCACTGACAATTTCTATTGAAAAGTTGGTGGTGTCATCAATAGGTAACATCATGACAAATGGAGAACAGGTTGACGTTGTCAAGGAGTAGGTTTTGCTTGGACCCACAAGCACTGCTCCTGGTAGCCCCAGTCAAGAACTCCAAAGTCGGGTTGCTGTAAGTAAACCTGCTGCACAAGACCTCTTCAGAGGATTGAAAAGCTAAGCTGTTACTGTGAGGACTAAGGAGCACGATGGTTTCCATTACTTCATGTGCATATGAAAGTTGGACATTGAATAAGGAAGACCAAAGAAGGACCGATGCATGAGAACTGTGGTGCTGGAGAAGACGATTGAAAGTACCAGGAACTGCTAACAGGACAAACCAACCTGTCTTGGAAAAAGTATTGCCAGAGTGCTCCTCGGAGGCAAAGATGGCAAGACTTCATCGTACATACTTTGGACATGTTGTCAAGAGAAACCAGTCCCTAGAGAAGGGCACAATGTTTGGTACACTAAAGGAACAGCAATAAAGGGGAAGGCCCTCCACAAGATGGATTGACACAGTGGGGCAAAAAATGGGCTCAAGCCAGGAACCATTGTGACGATGATGCAGGTCCGTGCAGTGTTTTGTTCTGTTGTGCATAAGGTCACTATGGGTTGGAACCAACTTGATGGTACCTAACAACAAAAACAACATATGTATATGTGTGTGTGATATATATCTATTACGCACTTAAGTATGTACATAATGATTTTTAAAGCCATTTATTAATTAAATTTTAATCATTATTTTAAAATGTATTAATGACTGATATAATAAAATTGAAATGATAGCAAGTACATATAGAACACTGGTTCTGCTGTGGGTAAGTGCTGGACTGCTAACGGCAAGGTTGGTGGTTCAAATCTACCAGCTCCTCAGGAGAACGACGTTTGCCATAAAAAATGTTCAGTTTCAGAAATCCTAGATAAGGTTTCTACAAGGTGGAATCCACTCAGTGACAGTGGGTTTGGTTCGGAGGTGTATATACAAATGTTTAGTAATTTATTTATTTAAGAATTTAAAGTATACTATATAATGCATAAGGACCTCTGGCAGCCTAGTGGGTTATATATATTGTGCTGCTAGCCCATAAGTTTGGCAGTTCAAACCTACCAAGTACTCTGTGAAAGATTTATCAGGGGGTATTCCCCCCCTAAAACAGAATATTTCCCCCAAAGCTATGTATTTAAATTTTTCTACAAAACAACCTTATCACCTTCAAAGTGTTCTCCATTACACTGACTACATTGGTCAGATCTGCAATTCCATTCTTGGAAAAATGTTTCCAACTCATCTGTTTGGATGGCTGACACATCCCTCGTTTTTTCCTTCACCCCTTCTACATCGTCAACTCGCTGTCCTTTCGTGCCCCTCTTCGTTTGCGGAAACAAAAATAAGCACATGGAGCGAGGTCAGTGAGTAAGGTATTTGGGACAAGACAGACATGCTGTTTATTGCCAAAAAACTGGCTCACTGAAATGGCTGCGTGAGCAGGTGCATTGCTGTGATGGCAAAAACATTCTCCCATCTGCCACAAATCAGGCCTTAATTGTCACACACTGTTATGCAATCTTTTCAGAACCTCTATATAGAAAGCTTGATTAACAGTCTGACCTGGTGGAACAAACTCCAAATGCACTATGAGTCAACATTTTCATCTGTTCGGGACGTTGACATGCATCCAGAATCATCATTTCATGTTTCTTGAAATGAGAAAACCACTTGTACACTCGAGTTTTTTCCATAGCGCTGTCCCTGTAAACTGTGTTCAACATCGCAACAGTTTCTGTGCCTTCCCCCCAGCCCCAACCCCCACCCCTGAGCAGGAAACAAAATTTCACAACTGCATGCTGTTCTCTTAAATTGGCCATCACAAAAAACCAGGTTTGAGTGAAACTGCTTTTACGTAAAAATTCACCGTGACCAGAGAAAAACCTTCTCAGGTGACGCCACTGAATGCACTAACTCAGAGTGAGATGCTTGATGCTTGCCTAGCAGGCAAACTGTGTACTGTGAAAGCTCCACAGTAGAGCTTTTCCTGTTGGGGGGCAGCCCCTCGTAGTCCCAGATGGAAAGCCTCAGGCATAGTGCCGCTCTTTCCGGCAGGATCGTTCGGAGGCAAAATTGACTCGCTGGCAGAGGATTTGGTTGGGCATATAATTTATAGTCTATTTTCTATAAGTCTATATTTCCCTCTTATAAGTTAATACTATTTTGTGAACACTTTCTGGATGGATTTTTTTTTTTTAACATTTTATTAGGGGCTCATACAACTGTTATCCCAATCCATACACACATCAATTGTGTAAAGCACATTTGTACATCGTTTCTCAAAACATTTTCTCTCCATTGAAACCCCCGACATTAGGTCCTCATTTTTCCCCTCCCTCCCCGCTCCCCCCTCCCGCATGAGCCCTTGATAGTTTATAAATGGGTATTTTGTCATATCTTGCCCTGTCCGACGTCTCGCTTTCTAATATACTAAAAAACCCCTCACAAATCTAGTTTTTAATGCATTGCAATAATCTATGTTTAGAAAGTACTATCATTTAGTAGACCATCAAATTCTGGATAGACTTAGGTTGTTCCTCATTATTGCTAGATATTATAAATGGAAATATTTTTTCCCAATAGCATAATAAAAGTAACCATATGAAATGAGCCCAAAGTTTTGGTTAAACCAACACAAATTCTATTCTCATGAAAGAGAAAATGTGGTTTGAATTTATTTTGCCATTCAAAATTCAAGCTCATCGCCATTGAACCAATTCGGACTCATCCGGCCCTACAGGACAGGGTGGAACTGGCCCTGTGGGTTTCAGAAACTGTAGCTCTCCGGATTCTCCCCCAGATTAGCTGGTGGTTTTGAACTACTGACCTTGTCGTTAGCAGCCCAACTTGTAACCATTATGCCACCAGGCATCCTACCTCAGTATAACAAAAGTTTCTCCCCGTAATTACCTGGCAATTATTTGGTACTTTTCTAAATATTATTTGACAGTAGGGCCATCCTCCTCTGGTTTCATGGCTGAGACGAGGCTGCTGACTGGGCCACCTGCATTTGCAGACCCGGCTTACTGACTGTGCTGCTTTGGGAAAACTCCTTCAAATCCATTTCAGCTTTCTCATTTCCTTCACAAAAGCATTCCTAATGTGTGAAGTGGAATTAAAGTATGACTTTTCTTTAAGTTTTCTTTAAAGAATTAGACTATTTGAAGTTTCAGACTACTACTAACCTCAGGGTTGGTGGTTCAAACCCACCAGCCACTTCACAGAAGAAAGGTGAGACTGTTCCTGTAAAGATTTATCGCCTCAGAGACCCTATGAAGGGTCTTTTGAGTCAGAATGTACTTGATGGCAGTAGGTTTCAAGCACTTGGTTGACTTAATAAGATAATACCACTGCCATTGAGTTGATACCAAGCCAAGATAGGATTTCCAGGAGTGTACCACGTCTTCTGTTTCCTGTGGAGCAGCTGATGGGTGTGAACCTCTGAGGTAGGGGTTAGCAGCCAGTTGGTGATCCCTCAGCACACCACCAAGTTAAGTGGAACAACATGAATTGTTCAAGTATATAATTGCACATCAATCTAGCTACAGTTTTCATGTGTGTGCGTGTTTTGTAATTGAAGCTATGAGGTCTTTTGATAAATGAGCGTTTGGACAACAAAGAACATTGCAAGTAACATTTTCATTTTTCTTGGAACTTCCTAACTGGTTCCACACCTCCCCCTATTTATTTCCTAAGCACCCCACATCCATCACACTGTACAAGTAACAGTTTTAATGAAATAAAGAAAACCAAGTGTTCAGCTGTAGAGATGGGCTGTGACCAGAGAATCAGGACACATTGGTTAAGAATCAGAACCAGATCTATGGCACATGACCCACCACCCGCTTCTCCGGGCCAAGTGGTTCTTACCGGGTAGCCCTTCTGCCCCTTGACTCCCACGCCAGGGTTACCCTGGAAAAGATAAGGAAAACAGAACAAAAAACCAAATTGCTTTTGTCTTAAGAAGGCTGGTTATTTCCTCAAAGATGTTAGTACCCAGGATAAAAGTGTCATGTTGGGAAATAAGAACATGCTGAAACTGGCTCTTGTCCAAAGACTTTTCCAGAAAAGACAAATGACAGAATGTTGGATCTTTGGGTTTTGTTGACTGTCCAAAATGAAACTCCATGCCGTTGAGTCATTGCCAACTCAGAGCGAACTGCTGGCCTTGGGTTAGCAGCCCAAAGGACGATGATAGGCTTGAAAGATAGTGTCAGGAGACTGTACTGACCGTAGATCAAATCTATATAAATTCTGGAAATATAAAAATTACAGTCTCCATCAATCAGACCATATTCTAAAACATCCTCTACAAAATATTATACGTGTAACTATGATATGCTCTGTACACCTTCACCTAATTTACAATGAAAAGTATTTAAAATTTTTTAATTAAAAAAAGAAGCTAAACCCAAATAAGGCTTTTTTTTTTGCTGTTTGCAACTCCTGTAAACAGTTCCAGTCTTGGAAGCTCACAGGGACAGGTCTCCCCTGCTGTCCTAGAGGGCTGCTATGAGTCAGCATGGACTCAATGGCAGGAAGTTTGGTTTTTAAGGCTCTTAGCTAAGCAGTTTATTGAAGCTGATCTAATGATTTATCAGTAGTTAGTTTCAAAGTGACATCAAGAGATGTCATTCATTAAGAGAGATGCAGCCCTTCATGCAACCGTGCTCTGCAGACACGGTGTTTTCTCCCTACAAATGGGAGATGTGCAGCAACCCCCACTGAGCAAGTCAATGGGCACCACTTTCCCAAGAGCATGGGCCGACTTTGCATCTCAGTGTCACGTTTTGGTCATTCTTACCGTATTTCACACTCTTTCGTAAGGTGGTTGTACCCTTAACAGACTACAGTCAAGGTCAGCATAACTTTTAGGTGCACCCAGAAACTAAAGAAAAATCAGTGTGACTGTGACTGCAGTTGTCAGGAATCGAACCTGCAGATTCCCAAGGCATGCCTGCATTTGAGCTGAATTCTCACCTGAGGAGGAATTCTGTCAGTAGACAGATATTACAAAGAGAAAGGATGAGTTAGTCTTTGGAAGGTAATGATTCAATTTTAACCTTGAAGACAGAGGATATGAAGATGGGCAAAATAAGAAATATGTTATGAAGTCTAAACACAGGAAAGATACCACTCTGGGGATAGATGATTCCATTGTAACTGTCTAAGTATCTTAACTTGCTTTTGGCCACCTACCTTCAAACCCGGATCCCCAGGATGCCCAGGAGGTCCCTAAATGAACGGTGAGCAAGCACAAAGCAATGGTCAGTCATAAAAGCAAGAATATTTCTTCATTGGTTGTCCCACGTTCTTATTTGGGGGATCCCTGAATGCACATTCTGTAATGGATGGGCTGCTTATTTATAAAGATGCGTTAACCTGGATTTCCTAATGAAAATCATTGGTATACACTAGTTCATCTGGTCATAATCTCCCAGAGATCTGCCATGCCCAAACCAAGACTACAATGGCGCTTCTTTGTTTAAGGATCAACCCCGAGTACTGGAGGGACAGATATACTTACTCTTAACCCCGGCTCTCCTGGGTCACCCATTGGGCCTGCTGGTCCACTCACTCCCCTAGATCCCTAAACACATGAAAAATCAGTACATTCAGTACCAATAACACAGCTATGTGCCATTGCAAGAGCTTCATGTAAGTGAGCCCAGGCCAGTAGCCCCCAAGGGTCCTTGGACCTCTGGTGGCCTCCTGTGTGTCTGTGTACACCTGTGCTCTATGGGGGTTTTCAATGGCTGGTTCTTCTGAAGTAGATCGCCAGGCCTCCCCCCTCCACACACCGCCCCCCTAAGTAACTATTAGGTGAACTCAAGTCTAACCAAATGATTCCGAGCCAGGTTCCTGGGCATGAGAACTGGGTAACCACACAAGGCCCCACACGTGAAAGGTCTCGGTGTTTGGTTTCATGCTCTGCCGACACCAACTTAAAATTTGCAAAAGACGTTTGAACCAGGGGTCGGTCCTCAGCTTATCTTGCTCTCTCCACTGCTGATGAGTCAATTCTAACTCGTAATGACCCCACAGGACTGAGAACAGCTCCACGGACTTTCCCTCAAAATGTCCCCACAGGACAGAGTAGAGCTACTGCACAGGGTTTCCAAGGTGACTGATTGTCATGGAGAGCAGACAGCCTCCTCTTTCTCCTGCAGAGCGGCTGTGTGGGTTGGAACCACCAAAGTTGTGGTGAGCAGTTCAATACTGAACTCACACCAGGGATCGTTTTGCTTTGCTCTGGGTCGCACATCTGAGACAGCTGATCTTGCCGGGACTAAAGAAAACTTTGGCTGTTTGAGGAGCAAAGGCAACTTACCGGGAAGCCAGGAGGTCCTGGGTCCCCTCTGTCTCCCTACAATAACAACAGGTATGACTTAGAAGATCCACACAGTGCTCCAAAGCAGCAAGTTAGGTGAAAACAGAAATACACTGAGGAAGCACCTGGATGGGCCTCAGCATGGGGCCTGGGCCGCTTTGCAGGGCTGACATGTCACAGATGGAGGGGCTCTCCCGGGGGTGGCTGGTTCTCTCCATGCTTATAGCCTAAATTCTACAGTGCTTTCATGGCAGTGACATGGAATCCACACGAGGTTTCCTCTTCCCACGAGAAGCATGCTCTAAATGTTCGCTCCGATGGTCCCATTTCCTCCGATGCTACCTGTCTCTGGGCTAACTCTCCTTCCCTCTCTTGCCCCATTGGAACACGCTAGCGTGGTCAAAAAGAGAGGTGGTGTAGAAATTCCTGGGGATTCTGCCATGAGATTCTGCCTGTATAATGGAATCGACGGTGGGCTTTCCCTTGAGTACAGGCAGGGACAAGCATCGCTTCCACAAAGGTTGACCACTTTGATGAGATGGAGCATTCTCCATCGACATTAGTTAAAACATTGTCATATGAAGACTTGCCATCCAGTATACTAAAGGTCACTGATATTGACTCTAAAAATGATGGAAATCTTCCTAGCCCTGTCCTCAGGAAATAAGACCCACTTGTGTCTTTTTAGCAGAGACTGGCATAAAGAAGTGCCCTGGTGGTGTGGTGAGCTACGCAGTGGGCTGCTGGCCACACAGTCGGCAGTTGAGAATGACCAGGTGCTCCTCGGGAGAAAGATGGGACTCTGCTCCCGTGAAGAGTTTCAGCCTCGGAACCCCACAACTCTGCCCTCAAGGGTCACTATGCGTCGGGTTCAACTTGATGGCAGTGGGTTTGAGTTTTTATACAAAAAGGCATTCCGAAATGAGGCTCTCAGACACCATCTCATCTCTTGACGATGAGAAGCCATGAGCTCAATAGAAGGGCATCAGTAGATATGATGAATTCAAAAGAATGCAGCACACTTTCAAGGCATGTGATCATTTCTCTTATGGAAGAATATTCGAGAGCAATCAGATAAAATGAGTTTTGGCATATTTCTATTAGGTCCTGCTTAAACACACACATAATTAATTTATCAAGGCCAGTGCTCTAAAGATTTCTGTCATTTTCTGATTCGATATCAGTGGCTTTCATTATACAGGATGGCAAGAATTCATAGTATAACATTTTGCTACAAACAAATCCAGTGGTTCTCAATTGGGGGTGATTTGGACTCCCAGGGGACATCTGGCAACAACTGTAAACCTTTGTAGTTGTCACACTAGGGAGATGCTGCTGGTATCTAATGAGGGCGAGGCCAGGATCCTGCTTACTATGCTAAAATTCACAGAAGAGCCCCACAAGAAAGAGTCTAGCCCAAAATGTCTATCGTGCTGAGGTGGAGAAACAAGAAATCAAGGTCCCCCACCCCCAACTCCTCTGCAAGAATAATTGGGCAGTCCTGGGCTTTCACAGGCGGAACGATGGCCGGCAGTGCCTTCTCTCAAGAAGCATGGTAATGTTCCTGAGTCAGATACTGATAAAAACCAGGATGTTCGCTGACTTTGCAGAGGAAATTCCTATCCACGTGCCTCTGGTATGGCCTTACCCGCATGCAGATCATCTGTGAAAAGCACAACATGACAAGGCTTACCTGACCACCTTTGATGCCGCCTAAAAGGAACACCGACTCTCCCTTTTCTCCCTTTTCCCCAGGCAAACCCTGGAAAGAAAATAAACACGTAAGTGGAGGAAGCACATTATCATTCCTATGTTTCTCGTTCCATATGAAGAGTTTTCATTGACAAAATTATCATAACAGTCATATTTTTCCCTAGAGAAATTCTCTATTGTCATTCTAAGGAGGCTGATATATATATATATTTATATATGCTCTATTTACTACAGAATAATATATGATATTTTTTGTTATATGGACCATCCTCCTATATGATAGGAACCAATAGACAATATCGTGATAAAAGGAGAAGAGATTGAAGTTGTCAAGGACGTCATTTTGCTTGGATTCACAATCAGTGTTCATAGAAGTAGCAGTCAAGAAATCAGATGACACACTGCATTGGACAAACCCATGCTCAAGACTTCTTTAGAGCGCTGAAGAGCAAGGATGTTTGAAAAACAAAGTTACTCTGAGGATTAAGGTACATCAATTGCCTGATCGCATGTAGAAGTTGGACACTGGATGAGGAAGACTGAAGGTGACTAGATGCTTTTGAATGACGGTGCTGGCCAAGACTACTGAAAGTACCATGGACTTCCAGAAGAATAAACAAATCTGGCTTGGGAGAAGTACAGTCAGAATGCTCCTGAGAAGCAAGGATGACAAGACTTCATCTCATCCATTTTGAACTTCTAATCAGGAGAGGCCAGTCCTTGGGAAAGGGTGGCAAGCTTGGTAAAATGGAGGAGTCGTGAATAAGAGAAAGACCCTCAAGGGGATGGACTGACACAGTAGCTACAACAATGGCCTCAAACATAACAATAATGTGTGGATGGTTCCTTCTGTAGGAAGGTGCTTCTTTCTGATGCACATAAGGTCACTATAAGTTGGAATCAGCTCGACAGCCCCTAACTACACCTAACAACAGCAATCAATAAATAGTAGGGTTTTAAAGGTTTCCCCAAATATTTTTAATTGACCATAAGAGAGTTTTTAATAGTGTAACAAATCATTTTCTTAAAGAACATAGAAAAGCTATCATCTTTCTCCCTCGTTATGAAGATGGTTTTGCATGGTGTCAGCCATGCAAAGTGCGGACCTGAATATAAAATGGATCGAGGGAAAAGGAAAGTGTTTTGCAAAGAGACCATGATGGCAAACATCAGTCTTAGTGGCCAGCGTTCATGCTGAAGCCTGCAATCAGGAACTCCTGCTCCCCTGACTGGATGCTCATGAGGTCTGGTCCTATTGTAAGAAGACTTAAGATGTACATTCACCCGAGCACAGTTGAGTCTCCAAATAGCTGAGTAAGAAAGTGAAGGATGGGTGGCGAGTTTGAGAGATAACTGACCTTCTGACGTAGAGTGACAAGATCAATACATAAGATGGAAAACAATATTTGAGTTCTGTGTTCAGATCAGATTCACTAGGAACTGGTAGCCAGAGGCTAACCCCATGGGACAAAATGTAGGATGTTTCTGGGGGTGATAAGGAAAAAAAAAGAGAGGGAAAAAACTTTAAAGATGGAATCATGCTGGATGATACACAGTTCGGGAGAGGAAAGTTTCAGAAACAATGACAAAAAATTAAGTTTGAAGGGACAAATCACCCCCAATCTTGACTCAGGTGAAAAAGAAACAGAGAGAAAGAATAAAGTGGGGAGAGGAAAGGGTGGTTCCTGCTGCGATTGTGTTGTTTAAATAAAGTCAACATTTCTTTAAGACCCAAGAACAATAAAGTTTTCCTCAAGTCAAATGTTGCTGGGTTTCCATTTCAAAATTTCTTCCATCTAGCGTTACACCCCAGGGCCCAGAAAGTCAGAAGTTACATTTCCCAGACTCCTGTGCAGGTGGGTATGAATTATAGAATCGCTGTGAGTCAGAATCAACCTGATGGCTGTAAGTTCACGTTTTCGAGATTAGTTACTTGCTGAGATGTGGGAAGCAGAAATGAGGAAAAGTTCCTTTTCCTGGGACTGCAGTTGCTGCCAAGCATGAAGGTAGAAGCACTAATGTTTCCGTGCTAGTAGCTAGATGCAGAAGAGAGAGACTGGGTCATTGTACAGTGCAGGAGTTGCTTCCTGACTTCTGAGTTTGGGCTAAATGTGAGACCTTGAGATAGTAGTTCGTATTCCACTCCTCCAGCCATTCTAATAAATATTACCTCACCTGTATTCAACGCCTTTCTATTTGAAATACCTAGAAGGGGTCAGACGCTTGCTCAGAATCCTCATGGGCAAGCACAATGCATGTTGCTAACTTTTCTGCCAGTTCCCTTTCCCTCACCGTCCGTTGTCTGCCCAGCGGTCAGGGCCACCTTACTGAATCATCAATCATGTCGCCCTCTTCCTTAAAACCACTCAGCTTGACATGGGAAAACCCAGAAAGCCCCGTCTCCATCCATAGTCTATAAGCCCTCTGGTGTTCTAAATCCTGTCCACCTCCTTGTCTTCAGCTCCTGGCCACGGTCAGGCTTTCAGTAGACTCTACGCTGGCTTAGATTAACTCCGTGTCTCAAACACTGCTCCCACTTCAAGGCCTTTGCACGGAAGAGTCCTCCTAGGATGAGAGGAAAGTCTTACTGGGGGGCCTCCTGGACCCGGAGCGCCATTCTCTCCTGGAAGTCCTGGGTCACCTCTTGAGCCATTGTGGCCGTTTACACCGGGTTTGCCTCTTTGTCCAGGAGACCCCGGGTGTCCCTACCAAAAAACAAGAGGACAAATGAAGCATTTTTGCAAGGACATTATGACAAAGAATGTGTGATAAGGTGTCCCAATTCTAGCAATACTGACTCCCACAGTCAGACTGTATTATTGTGACACTTCCTTCCACACTTGAAACAGATCTTCAATTCTCTTCCCATTTTCGGACTCACCAGAAAATGAAAACTTCCACTATGAGTCCTGGTTTATTTCCAAAACATTGCGCTTGACATGACAAGTGTCTCGGGTGCCTATTTGGGGATGTTTTCTCTCTAACCTGTTAGGGAAATCTTGCTCTTCAAGCAAAGTATTCTGGCTTTCAAAATGATTGTACAATATCATAATGCATTACGATGAATTACATAATACAGTATCCTGTCATACACTAAGGTGAGAAAAATATAGAGATCGCCTTCTAGTTTTTGAATGTGTAGATTTAGGGGTTTTGAGAAATGGTTCGCACATTCAAAGCCACTTACAGGTATGCCATCCAAACCTGGAAATCCGGGAACACCCGTTGGGCCCTAAAATCCCAGAGAGTAAAACAAAAAAATAGACAAGTATTAATATACTTATATATAACCTATTTATATAATTCTTGTATGTCACTTACATCTTTCGGTTAAGCAGTGGATTGATTTGAAACACTACAGAATGCAGACTGATTGTTAAAAACACTTAGCGGTCGTTGCCACCGTGTTTGCACACTGATGCCCTTGAATGCCAACACGCAGGAACTCATCTTTGGGTGTCTCTATGTAGGGACCCCATTGTCAGCCTCGATGAAGATGAAGCCTCCTGAAAGCTCGAGGCTCGGCTCCCCAGAAGTAGCTCCCAGAGAGACCAGCGCTTCATGAGGTTTGCATTGCACAATTTGCACAACATTAAATGGGGGTTTATTCTTAAATTCTCACCAATCAGAGACTGAACTCTACGGAACTCACCCTAAGGAACCCTGGGGATGGACTGGGTCCAAACTTCAAACCCACCGAGTGCTCAGAGGGAAAGAAAGAGACGTGTTCTGTCCTATACGATAGATACCCTCAGAAACACAAAGGGGTAGTTCTACTCTGTCCCGTTGGGATCCACTCCACGGCACTGAGTTCATTTTATTTTTGTCTGATTTATGGCAGATTCTAAAAAAGAATATGTTCAATCTTTATTGAATGACATGAAATAATCTTTAAGACAGCCTGGTGAGTGGGGGGCGAAGGGGGGTGGGATTCAGAGTGATACAAAAGAAACCAAACTCACTGCCATTGAGTCATTGCCAACTCGTAGCGACCCTACAGGACGAGGGAGAACTGTCCCTGTGAGTGTCTGAGACTGTCACTTAGCTCCGTCTTTCTCCTGCAGAGTTGCTC